GAGATTAATATATATATATATATATATATATTAATGCTCACACATATAATGTAATATATTGATTTTTGATCAAATAAAATTTACAGCATGCATGCATGCTTATCTTTGTACTTTCTATTTATTGTATATATTGATAAAAAAAATCAAAATAGTAAAAATTGTAAAATTGTATACATTGATTTAAAAATATCAAAATAGGAAAGCTCGGAAGATTTATGTTCTATTTATAATTTTTATTATAAAATGTGTTTTAAAATAAATTATCATCTAAAAAATTATATTGTATATTAAAAATATGTTTATATCATAAATAAATTAAACTTTATTTTTATACAATTTAACATATTTATTTTTATGTTTTTATTAGTGTTAAATTATTATTAACTAGGTCTTTAAGATTATAGTTCTAACCAAACATTTAAAAAATTTCTATGATAAATAAATATGTCATATTTAGAACATATATTTTTTAAAAAATATTAGGTTTAAATCTATTAAATTATAATATGACATAGTTTGACATAGTTTATTTTTATCTTTAATCGTAATTGTAGATATAAAAATTGTAAAAAATAATTATAATATATATTTATATTTTTAAAAGTTATATATAAAATTTTTAATATTACAAATATATGAATAAGTATTGCCTCCACTATCTAAAATTTCTGGATCCGTCACTGATTTTAGGCAATGGTAACCTAAATGTATTGATGGAAAAATATGTATTTGTAATATCTGTTATTATTGTACTATACTACTATATATAATTAAGTGTTAATATTCTATTTTTTTAATGTCAAAATTTAATTGTTTCAAATTATGCATTTATAATTTATTTGAGATTTAATGAGAATCATCGTAAGAAGAAAGTAAATATTCTTTCACCTTAATATTTTTCCTTTTCTTTTATTTTTAAAAAAAAAAAAAAACGGAAGACAAATCCGATTGTGTTAGGAATGTGATGTTTCAAAGAATCAGAACTAATTAATTTAAAATATTAAATTCAATTTCTAAGAGAAATTATAGCACTAGATAGCTATAAAATATGTTCTTCTTTTTATTTTAATAAATATAGTAATAAATTTAAAAATAATTCGGTTAGATATAATGGTCTAAAATAATTAAATGTCTTTTCTTTATCCATTCAAATGTTTTAATTTTATGTTTCTTTTACTCCAATTTAGAATATTATTCAAATGTTTGTATATTGGTACCTTATGTTTAAGGATGAGAATAGGATTGGACAAGTCAAATTTTAAATATATAAGTTAAATTTATTTTATAAAATTAAAGTCTAAATTTAACCTATTATTTATTATAGATTTTTTTATGTTTAATTTGATTTTTTAAAAATATAATATAATCTATTAGCCTATTTAAAAAATTATTTTATAATTAATTTATTTAAAAGTCTATTTTATATTAACAATGTTAAATAAGTCAATAAATTTAAATTTTAAAATAAGTCAACAATTATACTTTTTAAATAGATGTGCACGTTTTTGTTTAATTTGCATAATAGATCTTTTTTAATTTGCATGATAAAAAAATAATTTACTTTATTATTATTAAAATTTAAAATTTAAAATAAAAATTAAAAATTAATTGAGGAACAACTCATGCATATCCATACATATATACTCATGCACACAAACTGTAATGAAGAAAATAATCTTATTAAGAAAATTCTAAATATTTCTTATATCATATTTGAAGTATTTTAAATAATCAATCATGAAGATGAAGAAGAAAAAAAAAGTAGGTGTAGATGTAATTATTAGAATTTTTATTTTAATATCTTGACTTCATATAAATAAGTAATGTAAAATGTTTAAGTGTAGTAAAAATATAAAAAGTATTGATAATTTCAATTTTTATATTACAAATTTATTTAATTAATTATATTATTAATAATTAATTAAAAAATTAGAACTATATGGATAAGTTAAAAGTTATTTATCTTCTTGATTAAAATAGAATATATATA